TGTCAGACACAGAAAGAGAAATATCACATGTTCTCACTTATTTGTGGGAGCTAAAAACAAACAAACAAACAAACAAACAAACACACAATAAAACTGGGGGGGGCAGGGAAGAAGACATAACAATTACAATTCCCTGAAATTGATACAACAAGCATACAGAGAAGACATTGTTAGGAGGGAGGGGGGAGAGAGGGGTGAGAGGGAGGTTTCGGTAATTGGCTACAATAATCAACCACATCGTATATTGACAAAATAAAATAAAATATTAAAAAAATAGTTATTTCTCATTACCCACTGCTTCCTTTATTGACATATATTTTGAGTACATCTATGCTATAGCATGATTCTATGATTCTGTAAAATACACAAATATCAATTTATAAAATGATTTGTTTAACTAGAATTAAACTATCATTATTAATTCTTTCTTCCCTAAGTGTAACTTGTTTCTGTATTCATTTCACATATCATTTTCCTCTTGATTGTTGGATTCATTAACAAAATCAGCTAAAGAGAAAAAAAGGGAGGCTTTATTTTACAGAAGAGAAACAATCAGCAGATTGGGGACAATGCATTCCAGGGAAAACTGAAAATATGATCTCTAAGAAGGGAGAAAAGAACTGTTTTTTAAGGCCTTGCAGGGTTAGCTTTATATACATATTCAATGGGGTGGAGGAATTCTATGAATATTTATGAGGGAAGTTATGCACTTGCACAGTCAGTAAACTTACGTATAACATATGTCCCGTGCTTACTTTGGGGTGGAGATTTAGTATTAAAATGAGGTGGAATTCATCTCTGACATCAAGAGGTTACTATAGGGTACAGAAGGCACCTAGTGCCCAGTCTCTTTGATCTGGCCAGAGTTAGTTTGGACTTTCAACTCTTATAAGGAGAGGAATATCTGTAAGGCCAATTCTCTGTACAAATGGAACTGTAGTGGGGCCACCAAGAATGAGGGGAGGTCCATTGACTGAAGCCAGGTGGACTGTTGAAAGCTAGAATAGAAATTTTCCAGCTGCAGTTGATTTGATGTTATCTTCCAGTAGCTGATTACTGCTTGATTACAGGAGAGAGAAGCCTCATGACAGTTAGTAACACACACATGTATATTGTAAGTGTGGGAATAGGTGTTTAATCTCTCATCCCACTATGGCTGTTTGGTTCTGTTTAGTAGTTTTTCAGAGTGTCTTTTTGTAGCTACAGAGAGCCCATCTTTGTCTGTCTATTGAAAGTATGTGTTAGTAGATTTGCAGTAATAAATAATTTATGGTAATTCTTTTCCTCCCACTGTTGATTCTACTAAACAATGAGATGCTTGTCACAATGAATCTGATTATCAGCTTGGATTTCAAATTCCCATATTTGTAGAATCTCTCTTCCAAATGAAGTTAAAGGAAAGACTGAAAAATCAGATTTTACCTGTGAATGACTCACACATATATACACAGCACACACAGTCTCCAAAACATCCCAAATTACTCTCCACCCCCCAAGCTGAAATAAACTTTTTCTCAAAGCTTAGAGCTTAGAGCCCTGTAGTGTTTAAATAAGCCTGGCATTAAAGCAGCTAACTCAACAGTTTTCCTATTGTTCAAAGCCTTGCCATTTATTCAGAACACTTTGGATTCAAGTCACCCTTATTTAGGGTCCATAGATGTAAATTTGGGAGGGCAGTATATATAAAGTTTATTGATCATTGATTACAGCAATTTAATTTGTAAATCTCTCACCAAAAAAAGAAAACTTTTTTCTGTAATTTAATTTCTTTACCTGTCACAGGATGGATTTGGCCTGATAGTCAAATTTTATAATTTATTAATACATACTATTCTATTCTGTTGATGGCTGTACAGAACAATATCCCAGAATTCACAAAAAAGGAGGCTTTTTCTTACTGAACTAAATTTGGAGAAAGATTGGAGATGATGGTTATTTACCTACTAAAGAAGGCAGTTTATTTAAAACAAACAAACAAACAAACAAACAAAAAACCATTGAAATGAAAAATAAAAGGGCTCTATCTTACTTTTTTTGTTTGCCTTATCTGGGATTCATATTTGAAAGAAAAATTTGTCATTTTAATTTTTTAGACAAACAAATCCATATTACTTATTGCTCATTTATATCACTTTTTCTTCTCATATAACACTTATGCATTCTGCTTTTCACATTTGTACCTTCAAATATATGAATTCAACTATAGTCTTTCTTTCTTTAGTTCATCTCTACTGGTTTAACACACAATTCTTTCCATTCATTGTATATAAAAAGCTTCCAGGTACCCTTCTATTCTCTCTTTCTCTTTCAGTGCTTTACAGTCTACAGGCTTTGCAGACAGATGTGATTCTGCTACAAAAATTTGAATTATTAGGTTTTTAAAAGATGTCTTCTATTCTTTCCAAAACGAGAGACACCCTGTGTTGCACAAGTATAAAAAAGGAAGTGGATGTGAATTGAGTATTTAAAATATCATGATTTAACTAGCTAGGTTGTAATGGCCAACTCATGTTTAAGGTAAGAGTAGTGTGTTGATTTTATATGTACTGAATTTTTTTTTTCTGTTAAGGGAATTTGTAAGTAAGACATGTCTTAAGATTTCTAAATTACCTTTACCTGTTGTATTAATACATTTCTGTTGCTCATGACAGAATACTTGAAACTGGCTAATTTGTTGGGAAGTCCAGGGAACATATCTGGCGAATACCCTGAAACAAGAGAGAGCTGACCTGCTCACTTGCTCTCCTTATAAAGCCATCATAACCACACCCTGACCACCCATTAAACCATCAATGGATTAATTCATACTGGAGATTATAGTCCTAACAATCTCATCACCACTTAAAGGCCCCACCTCTAAATTAACATAATAGGATTTCCCACCCTCTTAACACTGTTACAATACAGATCAAAATTCCAATACATTAATCTTTGGGGGACACTTTTGACACATAGCACCTGCTAACAAAAATAAAGTATTTTACATGTGTATTTTAATGATATTTTAAAATTGTTTCCAATTTTTAGCCTCACCCTGTGATCCCACTTTTTTTCTGGGCTGTGCTACTTGCAATGTGATCTGCTCCATTGTGCTCCAGAATCGTTTTGATTATAAAGATCAGAATTTTCTAAACTTGATGGAAAAAATCAGTGAAAATCACAGGTATCTGAGCTCTCCATGGATGCAGGTAAGATCAAGATCTTTTCTTTTGGCACTTATGATCTTTTTCGTGATGAATCCAAAATTCTACATACACATGAAAACCACTGTGAAACCCTTGCTATAGATACCATGGTCTTGCCCAGAGCATCATGGAATACCTACCTGGCAAAAATGGCTCAGTCCTTTATTTTACACACAGGAAAAGAATGCCCAAATATGGGGCTGGCTTTCATGCCAGTTAACTCCCTGACAAGTGTGGTTTTTCTACTAAACACCAAAGCTGTTTCTATAGAGTACTTTGTTAACTTTCCAAGAAAGCCCATGTCATTCAATGGACATCCAGTCCCTTTTTGGAGGCCTCCATTACTCACAAAGCTTGTGCTACAATGAACATTTAGCGACCTCTTTGTCACATTACTTGGCAGAAATATCCTGATTTAGGAAGAGAATATCTCCTTCAAGGAGGGAGAATATTGGAGACCATAGAAGCTTCCAGTAAACACTGAGTAGGGTAGGGGCGTTTTATGCTTCAGCTGGGATCCTAGCCGACAACGTTACTGGGTTAGGAATGACAAAAAGATTGGTTTTATGTGCATGAACCATAAAAAAATCTTGATTTTGCCTTGTGCTGGATTGGTATGTCCTTTGCTCTGCCTCAATAATGATTATGTGATCTTGGAGAAGTCACTTAACTGCTCTGGTACACAGTTGGTTTTCAAGTTATTTTCTATACCCTTCCAATTCTAAAATACTATTTCCATTTCTGAGGCTGCCTGATAGAAATTAAAAATTTTGGGGTGAGTTTTGTGCTTTAATTCAGTTTCCCCAAACTCCCCTAACCTCTGTTGTCATCTACAAAAAAAGTGAATCATAGTAACTCATGCCATCTTATATTTCAAGGTTGTAGGGAAGAATGAATGTATAAACTGAGAGAATTCTTATAAAGATGCTTTTATACTATAAAAATTATGTCTGAGTCTGGGAAATGATTATGGTCTTTGATCCTCTGGTCATAATTTTCTCCCTCAAATTTTTTTTACTAGCATAGAGAATGACTATATCTGTACAATGAAAATTTCCCCTTCAAGATGGATGCCTTATTCTATTCATATTTGTAGATATAATTTCTAATCAAGGTTTGATACTTTGATATATGTATGTGTCTGTGTGTAGGTAGATATTTATTAAATGTTTTCTATTTACTAAATTATCATTTTCTCCCTTAGATCTGCAATAATTTCCCTTTTCTCATCAATTATTTCCCGTGGATTACAAACAAATTCTTTAAAAATTTGGTGTATATGAAAAATTATATTTTGGAGAAAGTAAAAGAACACCAAGAATCACTCGATGTTCACAATCCTCGGGACTTCATTGATTGTTTCCTGACCAAGATGGAGCAGGTAAAATGTCAACAACAGTTCAGTCATTCAATTGTTTGTGCATTTTGTGGTTCATTGAATAGTTTTGTATTTACTCGGGATGTTTAAATGGTCAAGTCAGTAATATTTGACAGGCATTTTAAGTACCTATTGTGTGCATGAACCTGCACTAAGCATCACGGAAAATATAAAATTAAATTGTTAAATAATTGCAATACTTTGATCCTGTTATTTAGAAAAAAATTATCAACTTTAGGAGAAACAGAATGCACACTGTAGGTGACATGGAAATGATTACAAACAAGTTAGAAAATACAAAATGTCCTGCCATAATAAAAGATGGACAATATACACTGTAAGGGAGAATGAAAAAAAATGTTTTAACCTACGTGGGCTTCCAGCAGGTCCTGCAGATTGAAAAGATTTGTGTTGAGGGACAGGGGAATAAAATGCTCAACATCACTAGTCATCAGGGAAATACAAATCAAAACCACATTGAGATCGCATCTCACCCCACCTAGATTGGCTATTATCAAAAGGACAGAATAGCATGCTGGTGAGGAAGTGGAGATAAGGGAATTCTTCTACACTGTTGGCAGGACTGTAAATTAGTAAGATTGTTTTAAATTCTTTTTAATCGTTTTGGGAGAATTCAACAGTGAAGTCATTTTGTTCTGGATCTTTCTTTTTTGAACATTTTGATTCCTAATTGAATATCTTTGTTTGTTGTAAGTGTGTTCACATTTTTTATTTCTTCTGAGTCAGTTTAATAATTTATGTGTGTATAGGGAATTTTTTATTTATCTAGATTATCTAATTTGTTGATGTATAATTATTTATAGTATTCTCTTATAATGATTTTTATTTCCGTAACACCAGTTGTAATGCCACTGCTTTTATTTCTGATTTAAGTTATCTCTGTCTTTTCTCTTTCTTTTTATTTAGTCAGTGTAGCTTGTGGTTTGACACTTTTATTGATCTTTTCAAAGAACCAGTATTTGGTTTTATTTACTATTTTATTGTATTTATGTTCTCTGGTATTTGTCCTTCTGTACTTGGATATTTTCACTTGACATAATGTCCTGTAAGTTTATCTATGTTGTTGCAAGTGACAGAATTTTATTATATTTTATGGCTGAATCATATTCCATTATGTACGTGTACCACATTTTCTTTACACATTCATCCAGTGATATGCTCTCAATCTGTTTCTGTATCTTGACTGTTGGGAACAGTGCTGCAATAAACATGGGAGTGCAGATATCTCTTTGTCATGTTGATTTCATTTCATTTAGATGTACACTCAGCAGTGGAATTGTTGGATAATATGGTCATTCTATTTTTATTTATTTATTTATTTATTTATTTTTTTTTGTCTTTTATCCTTTTTTCCGTGTCCGGCAATGGATCGCAACCCTCAGTGTTGCCCCCGTACCGGACCGGGGACCGGCAATGGGATCGCAACCCTCGGTGTTGCTCCCG